CAAACAATTATAGAGAAATTTTAGGTATAAAAGGAGGACAGGCAAATACATGTTAAAGAAAAACAGTACACTAGTACACAACAACCAAGTGACAGGACACTGGCCAACGTAGTCAGGAAACTGCAGTACGTCGCGCTGAGGTCTGTCGATGATACCGAACTGTCGAGGCGACCCAATGATTAGCCTTAAATGGTGAAACAATCTGGAAATAGATAATAAGACATCGTAATCCAGTAAACATACAAAAAAAGAAAAAGGAAAAGGCTAGAAATTGTTATTATTTTAGCGACGTTGCTGTCCTCAGTAACAATTAAAGCAGGCCCATGTCTGAGCACCGCTCGGTTCTCGTGCCGATGAATAACAATGTTTTTCATGAGTTCAAGCACTTGCGCAATAACATAGCGCACTTCACGATCAAATGCGATTACTGCGCCATACTTAACAGTTGGCGCTGCTGAAGCTTGACGGGGATAGCGAGCTTGCGAACCTCTTTGACTAACTGAACTATGTGTGTGACTAGCAGTTGTGATCGCACCGCTAGATGAGGCAGAATGACTGAAAGTTAGCGACTTTACTGGGCTGCCTTTTTCAACAATGTTAGCCGGCTGTGCCTGAGGTGTTGAGGCAGACCAAGCTGCAGCATGACATCTAGAAGGACCCGGTAAGGCATCAAAATTGTATTTGGCCGGCTGAGCCGGATACCGACGTGTACCGAACCTTGTCCGTAACCAGGCATGTTGTATCACAAAAAGTAATAAAGAAAAAAAAACAGAAAATTTTAGACAATTTGAGAAGCGAGCAGCGCGAGCGTCTGCTCCGCCTCTTCATGACTTGATATCTGCCCTTTCATTATTTTTTTTTTTTTTTTAGAATTTCTGCGCAAACACTCACCTTATGCAGCGCTGCTTAATGCGATAACAACGAATAGTATCCGGTTATTTAACTATTCTTCCATTTCTCGTAATTGCAATTATCATTATATTTATATGTATTTTAACATCAGTAGTGGCGCGCAAATAAGAACTTTAAGAATGCTAATAATAATTCTTCCTATTTCTTCTTTTATTTTTGCTTCTTTCATACACTTTTTTTTCTTTTTTTTTTT